CATGGACGGCTTCAAAAGGGAATTAGATAAGCATATGGAGCAGAGGTCCATCAGTGGCTATTAGCCACAAGGTATAGATAGGGGCTCTGGGGCAAGTGATGCTCTGTCTTGGTGCTTGGGGGGGGGTCAACAGGGGGAGGGCTTCTAATGTCCTGGCCCCACTGCTGGACCTCCTGATGGCACTGGTATTTCTGGCCACTGTGTGACACAGAGTGTTGGACTGGATGGGCCTTTGGCCTGATCCAACATTGGCGTCTCTTATGTTCTTATGTTCTTATTCTGGACAATCCTTAACTTCCAGATCAGCCTCAAGGGCAGCCCAGCGTAGAGCAAGTTACAGTAATCAAGTCTAGAGGTGACTGTTGTGTGAATTACCATGGCTAGGTTGGGGCGAGACAGGCAACAGGTAAGTTGTTTTACCTGGTTATGTTTAGCAACTGGGAGGGCAGGTAAGTCTAGTGTTGGGGAAAAGAGGGGTGCAGGAACCGTTTCTTGCACTCTCCTTCCCACTGTGTTTGTTTTGGGGAGGGAGAGATGCTGGCTTCCCAGTGTTATCCAGAGAGGGAGGGAGGGAGGGGGGAGGAGAGAGAGAGAGGGAGAGGGAGAGGGAGAGAGTGTTTTTCTAAACCAAAACTCAATTTATTGCATTACACACTCTTTGTCAAAGACAGCCTCCCTCCAAATCCTGCCCAACCTTGGCTGGAGATCATCTTCGCCAAGAGGGTGACCAGCTACATTTACAAAGGGGGCCCCACTGGTGGACCTCCTGATGGCACTGGTATTTCTGGCCACTGTGTGACACAGAGTGTTGGACTGGATGGGCCTTTGGCCTGATCCAACATTGGCGTCTCTTATGTTCTTATGTTCTTATTCTGGACAATCCTTAACTTCCAGATCAGCCTCAAGGGCAGCCCAGCGTAGAGCAAGTTACAGTAATCAAGTCTAGAGGTGACTGTTGTGTGAATTACCATGGCTAGGTTGGGGCGAGACAGGCAACAGGTAAGTTGTTTTACCTGGTTATGTTTAGCAACTGGGAGGGCAGGTAAGTCTAGTGTTGGGGAAAAGAGGGGTGCAGGAACCGTTTCTTGCACTCTCCTTCCCACTGTGTTTGTTTTGGGGAGGGAGAGATGCTGGCTTCCCAGTGTTATCCAGAGAGGGAGGGAGGGAGGGGGGAGGAGAGAGAGAGAGGGAGAGGGAGAGGGAGAGAGTGTTTTTCTAAACCAAAACTCAATTTATTGCATTACACACTCTTTGTCAAAGACAGCCTCCCTCCAAATCCTGCCCAACCTTGGCTGGAGATCATCTTCGCCAAGAGGGTGACCAGCTACATTTACAAAGGGGGGTTAAAGGTACCTGTATACCTTTAATCAGTTAGTGCTGGTTAACCAGTCCTTTTGTGTCCCTCCAGTCAAGAACCAAAGGACAGACTCCTGACCTTACTGGGCTCAGCTAAGGAATCCTCCCTGCGAGGTTGGCTCACAGCACGAGACCCACAGGTTATTCTAGAGGCAGCAACCTACAGTTTTAGGCACCAGATAACTTATTGCAGCAGTGGAAACAAATACCAGAAGTTGGTAAATAAAATATATTTTTATTTAAGTGCACAAGATATATTCATTAAAAGATTCAGAATTATTTAAAACAGTACTGTGAGGGAAAACAAGAAAGCTAAAGATTAACAAACTTGCTAAACACTTCTAGAACCTTGGTTCTCAAAGACAAGATGTTAGCCATCCAGTTCTGGGTCCAAATGTACTCCGTCTCCAGAGTCCCAAGCGTCAGGCTGGTTGGCTTCGGCAGCCAGAACTCCCAAGATGGCCAAAAGGTGAGCAAGACAGAATTACAGGTCAGCTTGACATGCAACACCATCATGTAGAAAGGATGTTAAAGCAGGTTATTTATCACTGGAACCTTCAGTGGTTGCTAGGCCTGGGCACCAATCAGGGTTCAAGCAATGTCTTCCAGATACAAGAAGGCCAATCAAGGAAATGATGTTTTCATTGGTCTCTGATTGGTCTCTGGTCATGTCAGAAGAGCAGCTGACGTGACCTGCAGTTTCACGGCACCAGTCCCTTCCCACAGGACTTAACTACTCTGGAATGTTCACAAGGGAGGCCAAGTCCAGGGAGGGAACATCTTAACTTGCAGGTGCAAGGATGTTCGCTCTCCCCAGCACGACTGTGTGAAACCAAGGACACTTAAAGACAACATTCTTAAACAAGAGCAGGCCGCAGCCAGACGGAACCAAACTTTTAAAGCAAACTCCATTTTCAGTGAGCCAAAGTTCTTGAGACTCTTAAGTCAGAAAACATTTATGTAGCATTCCAATAGTCAACACAGAATATTTCAACACCACCCCATTACATAAATTGTGCACTTCTAAGTTTGAAAGGGATATCCTTGGTTGTTCTGCTAAGACTCACCATGGCAGGGTGGTTGATCAGAACAACCTCGAACAAAACTAATCCAGACATTAAGTACAGTACTCTTTTTTTTACCCACTGAAACTAATGTAACTGTCAGACAAGTCTGTGATGAGCATTTGACGTGCACGACAAAGTCAGCCCCTTTCATTCTATCTGTGGAGTCAGGAATGTCAAGGAAAGCTGTGTTAAGCCAGGGTGACTCACGAGTCGAGGAAGCTGGTTTCTGGTACTCTATCTATTTAGAATTCGATAGTGATTTCGGACTGCTGCAAACTATAAACGTCCCCAGGAGGCAAACGTCTTGTGAGTCAAAGTGGTGTACAGTAAGGGCCCACAGCACTCAGCAGAGTCCTGAAGCTTCCTGGGAACAGGACCAAAGTTTCAACTATACGAGCTAATTATTGTCGACATTAAAGTACCAAAGGTGTATCAGAGGTTTTGCAGAGTTTTAGCCGAGGACTGATTCTGCAACATTTAGCACCTGGGAGGGCAGGTAAGGTCCAAAGGTCTATATGTGACTGCAGTAGGAAAGGATTGAGAGCCCTTTGGCCTCGTCCAGCTTGGCTGACCTTAACCACCCCCTTGCCTTCCCCCAGAATATCCAGGATTTCAGGATACCACAGCCTTTCGAGAGCCACAGCTGAGCTCTTGCCGAGAAGGAGCTTCCGAATCTCCAGATTCCAGGCCCCAGAAGGTCTCCCTCCCGCCTTACCCAGTGGGGATTATAATTGTACTAAACTACAAGTCAGTTAGAAATGAGGCAGAAACGTCCCATGGGTATTCCTTTCCTGTTCCCTTAACATAACCGTGAAGGATCCCCACTCTCAGCCAACTCACTTGGGAAGGAAATCCTCTCTGGAGATCCTCTTGAAGAACTCTCCAGCCTTAACCACCCCCTCACCTTTCCCCAGAATATACAGGATATAAGGATACCACAGGGGGGGGGGGGGGAGAGACAGAGAGAGAGGGGTGGTGGTAGCTCATATGGGAAGGGACAGAAATTAAAAAAAATTCTCCTGGAAAGACAGAAACATGGTCAACATCAAAACCCACAATCCCAAATGGTAGAAGGGGGACGGATTATTTCCAGATCACAGTCGGAGCAGATGTTTGTAATCCCATCCAGGGAAAAGGTGTGTTGCAAAGGCTGGAAACAGAGAAATGAGGATCTGGACCCTTCCAGAATCTTTCTGAGGGACTTTTATCCCACCTTCGCTTCAGGCCAGGACACTTCCTCTGGCTTGGTTTACGGCCACAACACTGGCCTCAGTTGCCTCTGGAGAAACAGCTGGACAGGCCTCAAAATGGCGCATTGCTATTCCATATTTTGATACATTCCTCCTCACAATGGCAGCAATTCGCACATTTCCCACATATGAAAGATCCTTACCCAGAAAGGCCACATTCCCGTAGTTCTCCAGCATGACTTCCTGGTAGAGGGCTCTTTGGTCCGGATCCAGCAGGGCCCATTCGGCATCAGTGAAATACACGGCCACCTCCTCAAAGGAAAATGGACCCTGAAAGAAAAAGCAGAAAATACCTCCTCAGAGATCACGCCAGGCAGAGATGGCACCCTGGAAGGGAGTCGTCTGGGAGGGTACAGGATGTATGCCTTGGCATGGGGTAAAGGGGGTGGCGTTCAGAGCCCCTCTCGCCCAGACAGCTTGAAGAGACTGCAGGAGAAACCCCCCCCCCGAGAAAGGAGGGGGAACCCAGGCCGTCCCCCGCTCATATCCCCTACCTGAACGGGAGGGGCAGCAGCCATTTCCACTCCTCTGAAAAGATGACGGCGCAACAGCATCTCTCCACTGCCTGTTCCTGAGACAAAGGAGGAAGGAAGGGTTTTTTCCACGACTTTTATTTGATTTGTTTCTTTGTTCCCTGCTTCATTCACCAAATGGCCAGGATTGTAAAACCTTGCCCTGTTTCCACTCAACACATTTTAACACTTTTTACAAAACACTGGGAGAGGCAGAAGAAAAGGACCAGGTACCAGGAGCCCCAGGACTCTAAATGCTGCCAACATATTTCAGACTTGTGTCAGGCCTGTGTCTGGTTTGAGGGAGGGTGAAGAGGGAGATGGAAATGACGTGGCATATCACGTCACCGTCACACTTGGCCCAGACACGACTTGAGCACATCTGAAGACTCGAGGGTAGTATCAGTGAGTTTTCAGAGTGCCTCTTGGCAGGCTCACTTCCCAACCAGGTTTTCAGCCAGACACAACAGCAACATGACATCACATCTGCCCCAAGCCCTCCCCCAAAGCCCCCAGGGTTTGCCAGGCAACAGCACAACATCCCTATTCCGGCATCCTATTTCCCAAAGCGGCCCGCCAGATGCCCCTAGAAGCACGGGCACAGAAGCCAGATGTTTCCATCCTCGTTGGCCCCCAGAAAGGGTTTTTCAGAGCTCTGCTTCCCCAGAAGGTGGAGGCTCCCTTTATTCACCAAGTTGAATTGTCCTCCAGGAATTGGTCCAATCCCCTTTGAGAGGCATCACAATTAGCGAGTTCCGCAAACTAACTCTGTGTTGTGTGAAGAAGTGTTTATTTTCCCCCCTGACCTGAACCCTCTATCCATCAAATTCACTGGGTGCCCCAATCACATCCAGGCATGAAGAGTCCTTACCAGAGGACAGGACACCTTGGGCACGCTCCATGGCCTGCGCCCTCTGCTCTTGCTCCAAGGAAGTTCCTTCTGCTTCAGGGATTCTATTTTCTATCTTTATGGATGGTCCCCACATCTGAAAAAAGCAGCGAGGGAGAGGGGTAAGAGACGGAATGAAAGAGACCAAGGAAAGGATCCTGCCCCATTCCCAGACTCTGCCCCCTTCCACCAGCAGACCGGGTGAGTTATCTGGAGGGATCTGAAACTCTCCAGTTGAAGAGGCTGCTGAAGGAGGCTGGCGCTTGAGAGAGACGAAGCCTCTGGTCGGGGGGCCAATGTCCTGGGCTGAATGAGCAGAACGCTACGAACAGGGCTACATCCGTCCGAGATCTAAATTACGCATCCAGTATTTCTTCCAAAAGTGCTGGATGTTCACTTTCCCCATGTATTTCAATTACGCCTATAGTATTATGTCAAAAAGCCTCTGTGCCATGAAGACTTCCTTGAATCAATGAAAATCGGGGCTGTAAATCTTCTGCGAGGCCTGAAAAGACACATCTCTCTCAGGGCTCACAGGACCAAAACGGTCCTCTGTAGAACAAAAGGGGGGTTTTCCGTCAGGAGAGCCCCCACTGCACGGTGCAGCTCAGAGACACACGTTTTATCTCCTTGAGTGCTGTTTGGGAGAACACGGCCCCGAACCCTTGAATTTTCAGAAGCTTGTGGTACAGGTGAACAGTCGCACCATCTTTCCCAGAATCCCCTGCAGGTACCAAATGCGGGGTGGCACCTACTGGTTCTCTCGGAAGCCCACGTGGTCCTACTTTTCGATCATCCCCCTAAGAGGAAAGAATGGATCTCAGTGTCTGCTGAGGGGAGGAGGGGAATTCAGCTCAGAGAGGGGCCCCTCCCACCACCACAAGAGCTGCACTATTTAATTGGGCCTGAGACCTTGACGAGGACCTCAGTTTTCAGGGCTCTGAGGGGAAGAACTGAGCTCCTTGTTCTCAAGTGAAGTCAAGTCAAGTTTATTAATACGGTCAAGCGACCAGCCACTGTAGAACATTTCCAAGAGGAATAATAAAATACACAGTAAATACATAAAATCAAATAGATATATAAAAACATTAAAACGGATACGGGAGCAATACAATTATCATTAAAACGCACCAAAACAACGCTAACAACGTGGTCCTACTTTTCGATCATCCCCCTAAGAGGAAAGAATGGATCTCAGTGTCTGCTGAGGGGAGGAGGGGAATTCAGCTCAGAGAGGGGCCCCTCCCACCACCACAAGAGCTGCACCATTTAATTGGGCCTGAGACCTTGATGAAGCACCTCACTTCTCAGCCTGAGGACCTCAGTTTTCAGGGCTCTGAGGGGAAAAACTGAGCTCCTTGTTCTCAAGATGGTGGAAATGGCTAGGAAATATCACGGACAGGGCCAGGTAAAGCTTGGCTCAACAGGCCGGGCAGGGGGGGACACGGGAGGGCTGGGTACTAGGGCCCTTGTCCCTCCCATCTGAGAATAGGATGAGCTGAATAAATTGACAAAAGCCGGCAGATCAGCTAATAAAGTCTTGATGCTTTGCAGAACCTGGTGACACGGGTGGGCTGCCGAATTTCGACGCACAAAGAATTTATTTTACCTGCAGCTGATCCCCATCCCCCAATAAAATCCACCAAAGTTGCGGTCGCCCCGCAGAGAGAAAACCAAGGGGGCAGCCCCTTTTTATGTATTGGTTCCCATTTAAAATATTTATTGACCTCCTTTCTACCCTGAGACACTCGAGGCGGCTTACCATAAAGCCCCTCACCTTGGGGACCAGAGACCCCCCGGAAGGGAAAAGGTGCCCCCCCTCATGACAGTCTCTGCCCTCGACCTCTTCATGTGGGACCTCCCCCAGAGCCCTCAGAAAGCAGAGACCGGAAGGGGACTTGGGGCTCTCCGGTCAGGAGATGCTGCCTCACTTTGACAGCAGGTTCTCCAGCCACGCCCCGAGCCCCGTCAGCTCCGGCTCGGCCCTGGGGATCACACAGAGAGAGGGCGTGAGAGGACGCCCATCCCCTCCACCTCAGGCCTGCTCTCCACACGCAACCCTCAGTCCCTCCAAAGGACTGACCTGGTGGCCTGGTTTCCCTGGGGGGGGCGATCAGCCCCGTAGGCCCCTGCGAGCCCTGGAGAGAGAGGGAGACAGAGAAGAGAGACTTATTCTGGGGCCTCTGCCCAGGTTCTCCACCACTGAAGTGGCGGCAAAGAAAAAGAGGGGATCACAGGGTGAGGATTCATGTGGAGAGCAGCGTAGGGCAGAGCACAGGGTTTCAAAGGGAGAGGTGCCGGGGCTGAAGAGCTCCGGAAGGAGTGGTGGAGCAGGAGGGGCAGGTTCTGTGCTGGGGAGACGTGCCAAAGGCCACAGCAGGAAAGAGAGAGTGCAGGGCCAGGGCGGGAGATTCATCGCTGTGGCCAAGGATCCTCTTACCTGGGGCCATTTTAAGCCGGGCTTGCCAGGCTGCCCCTGGAAGAGAAACGCGCAGTGCTTATCTCTGTGGCCCTCCCCAAGCCGTGAGAGCCAGTTTGGTGTAGTGGCTAAGAGCGGCAGATTCTGATAGGGAGAAGCAGGCTCGATTCCCCACTTCCCCACTTGGAAGCCAGCTGGGTGACCTTAGGCAAGTCACAGAGCCCTCCGCCTAAAAAGTAATAAGCACAGCTCGCCACCTAGGGGTGCCAAAAAAGAACTACAGCTTCAGCAGCCAAACAATCCTTCCCGGATCTCCTAGCTATTTCCACACACAAGGCCACACGATAATTTCACCTTCCTCCCCAAGCCAGTTCATCAGAAGCCGTGTCCAGCGTGGCTCCGAGGCACAGTCAGCAAAGGCTCCAGGGAAATAAGGGTCGGGGGGAGAGCCTCGACATTCCCATCAACTGGCTCGGGCTCTTCTGGTCTTGCTGGTGATGCACAATCCGGGGGTGGGGGGCTTTGCTCCCTTTCTCCTCAGAGCTGGGTTGTTGTTTTTTGCCTTCACCGGCAAATTGTAGATTCCTTGGAGAAAGTCACAGAAGGGAAGGAACCTGGCTTTCCCCTCACAACTATAGCCCATCCTGTGCCCTCAGGAACACCTGGAAGGCCCAGCAGTGAGGAGAGCCGCTTGAGGAACGCTCAGTTCCTTCTGCACCCCAAGGCAGCCGCACTGAACATTCCCAGAGGCAGGGGAGGGGAAATTGAGCTGCCTGGACCAGGAGACATCTGGGCATGCTCCACGCCTCAGCCATCTTTGGCAGTCCAGAGGCAACTCTTTGGGAGCCACACCCAAGCACAGTCTGTACAGCTGCACGGGTGTGCAGAAGGAGCTGGAGTTTGCTGTTCAGGGCTGTCATTTCTAAGAGGGCTGAAAGGTGTTTGGTAGAAAGAGTTCAGACACACACATACAGATAACCCCCCCACACACCCACATGTCAAAGTTTCTACCGCATGTAGACATGTTTCCCCTTTGAACCCCAGAAGACCTCCTGGAAAGACCCCCCCCCCCCCGCCAAGGCCCAGAACAGTGGAGAAGGAGGAGGAAGGAAGATGAGGAGGAAGAGGAAGGAAAACGAGGAAGAGGAAGAAGAATTGGATTTATACCCCACCACTCTGAGTTTCAGAGTGGCTTAAAATCTCCTCCTCTTCCTCTCCCCACAACAGACACCCTGTGAGATAGGTGGGGCCGAGAGAGCTCTTTCAAGAACTGCTCTTGACAGAATGGCTCTGAGGGAACTGTGATTGACCCAAGGTTACCCAGCTGGCTGCCTGCGGAGGAGTGGGAAATCAAACCCGGTTCTCCTGATTAGAGACCACCGCTCTTAACCACTCCACCAAACTTGGTCTCCAGATCCACCACCATCTTGGTTGCCCTCCTCTGGACACGTTCTTGTCTATATCCTTCATTAATTATGGGGCCCAAAACTGAACACAATTCTCTAGATGAGTCTAACCAAAGCAGAGTAAAGCGATACCATCTCTTTGCATGATCTGGACACTGTACTTCTGTTTGGTTTAGTGGTTAAGTGTGCAGACTCTAATCTGGGAGAACCGGGTTTGATTCCCCACTCCTCCGCATGCAGCTGCTGATGTGACCTTGGGTCAGTCACAAGCTCTGGCACAGCTGTCCTTGAAAAAGAGCCGTTTGTGTCAGAGTTCTCTCAGCCCCACCCACCTCACAAGGTGTCTGTTGTGGGGAGGGGAAGGGAAAGGAGTTTGTAAGCCGCTCTGAGACTCCCTTGGGTAGTGCAGGGCGGGTATAAATACAATCTCTTCTTCTTCTTCTTCTTCTTCTTCTTCAAGACTGACCTAATAGTTACAATAATATACCCTGATTAATAAAGACTGGAATAACAAGAAAATCATGAGAAATACAGAAGCCAACAAAGAAAATGTTTTTTTCCCCTCTTTTAGTTACTTGCATTGAGAAAACTGTTGATATATAAGGCTTAAAGTGAAACCATGTGCTATGCATTATTACCCCCCATTTGTGTTTGTCTCTGTGTGTTAGTGTTTGTGAAAGTATGTCTGTGTTTGTGTTCAATTAAAACTTCTAATAGAATCATAGAATGTTAGAGTTGGAAGGGACCTTGCATCTAGTCATCTACTCCAACCCCCTTCACTCTGCAGGAGCATAGCTGAAAGATAGCCCTACACAACATACCCGAAAGATGGTCATCCAGCCTCCGCTTGAAAATGTCCAGCGAAGGAGCATCCACCACCTCCCGAGGCAGACTGTTCCACTGCTCAACCACTCTTACAGTTAAGAAGTTTCTCCTGATATTTAGCCGGTAACGACTCCCTTGTAATTTCCACCCATTAGATCTAGTCTTCCAATCCGGAGCAAGAGAGAATAGATCCGCTCCATCTTCTACCTGACGGCCCTTCAGATACTTGAAGACTGCAATCATGTCCCCTCTAAGCCTTCTCTTTCCCAGGCTAAACAGACCCAACTCTTTCAGCCTTTCCTCATAAGACTTGGATTCCAACCCTCTCACCATCCTGGTTGCCCTCTTCTGGACACGCCCGAGCTTGTCAACATCCTTCCTAAAATGTGGTGCCCAAAACTGGACACAGGACTCCAGGTGAGGCCTGACCATCGCAGAATAGAGCGGAACTACCACCTCCCTTCATCTGGACACAATGCTTCTGTTAATGCATCCTAAGATTGCATTAGCTTTCTTCACAGCCACATCGCACTGCAGGCTCATGTTTAGCTTGTGATCAACCAGAACACCCAGATCCCTTTCACATGTGCTGCTGTCAAGCCAAGTCCCTCCCATTCTATATCTGTGCCTATGATTTTTTTTACCTAAGTGTAGGACTTTGCACTTCTCTCTATGGAAATTCATTTTATTTGTCTCAGCCCACTGTTCCAGCCTATCACTGTTCATCTAGACACAATGCTTCTGTGAATGCATCCTAAGGTTGCATTAGCTTTCTTTCTTATTTGGGGCAAGCAGGAAAAAAAAAAGACTAACCCAATCGGTGGCCAGGTTGGAGCTTTCATGAGTCACGGCTGACTTCTCCAGGTACCTTCAGAATGAGGTGAGCCGTGACTCACGCCCGCTCCTCCTCTGCCAGCAGTGTTGTTCGTCTTAAAGGTGCTCCTGGACTCCGGCTCTTGTCTCCAGCTGCAGAGAGACTGGCACGGCAACCTGTCTTGACCCAGGCAAGGGGTTTTCCTCATCTAGGCCCAGGGCACTTCCTGGACACCAGGGAGATGTGGAAAGGGCAGTGGGGGGGGGGCGCGGCACAGAGAGAGATCTGGGAACCCCCCACTTCAGTTGGGACCCTCAGTGGTGAACCTCTGTGTCGGGAATCAAAGCCGCTGACTTGGTGGGAGGTGTAGAAACAACAGAGAGATCACGGGTAGGTCGCAACCAAGGACGAAAACAGCCGCGACGTATAATGAAAATATATATATTGATGGACTGCTGTGTCGCAGTGAGTGGTATTTCATCAACAAGTCGTCAAGATGTACACATCCACACTCACAGAATTTGCATATACTCCCGTTCAGTTTACACGTCGACAATGGTAATCCATGAACCTGGCACAAAACATTCTTCCCTCGTCAATGAAACAAAATCTTTACGTGCTCATACACTCACGGATTACAGTTGCTGACATGTGAATTCTTATAGTCAAATGTTGGAAATCAGATAAAATACCAAGTAGAGAGGAATTAATAACAAAAATTATAGAAATAAAAGAAATGGACAAAGTAAATATGATTTTGTCGGGAAAGGAAGAAAATGTGTTTAAAAAAAGATGGCAGCTGACGTGTAAACTAATGTTCTTCACGCAGCACACTTAGATAAAGCGGTCATGTGAAAGGGGAATATATGCACATTCCGTTAGTGTGGATGTGTACATCTTGACGATTTGGTGGGGGAGGCAGAATGAGTGGGGAGACTTCACCCCCCCAGCTTCCCCTCCTTCCTTCCCTCCCCCGCCCGACTCACCCGGGGGGGGGGCCTGGTGCGGGAGGGCCTGAGCTTGGGCTTCCTGGGCGGACACCCCCCCGCCCCCGCCCCTTGTCCTCTTCACCGCTCTCAACGCCAAACTGCGGGGAGAAGGAGGAAGCGCCATCAGACCCCCCCTGGAGCCTTTTTCATGGTCTGCGTCTGGCCTCCGGACTTCCTTACATCTTCGTCTTTGTGCTGCTCCACGCAGATGTGGAGCTGTTCTTAGGCCCTGGCTTGTTTTCACTGGTTTCATTCGGTAACATGTCGTGTTTTTACATTTTTATTTTATTGTGTTTCATTGTAAGCTGCCTCATCTGGAGAGGCAGCCATTTCCCAAAGAGACACATAACAACACCCGGGGCTATTTTTGGGCAGGAACGCACAGGAACGGACTTCCGGCTGGCTTCAAGGTTGGCCACGCCCACTACAGCCAAAACCTCTGCGCTTGCGTGGCCAAAGAGGGAAGGCCTGGAGAGTGACCCCCCCCCAGTGACTCTGAGGCGGGGGGGCCGGGGGACCCCTGGAAGGATCG